TGAATATACAGTAATGGAATTACTTCAGACCCACAGGGGAATGAGCCTGTGTGTGTTTGTGCCTGTATTTTATGCACTCCCAATCTTACTCCTCCACTGCGTGGCTCTTCTCTGGCCATGAGTGAGACTCCTCAGGGCTGGCTTAAATTACTGCCATGTTAGAGACTCACAGAAAATAAGAAGTAAAAGATCTAAAGATAAGTAGAAGTCATTATATTTTTACCTAATGTGTTACTAATTTAAGTGTTCACCTTGAAATGAATAAATATCAGTAGATCCCAGGGAGCCTTCAATTAATATATCTTGGTAAAGGTGGGTGCTGGTTTATGAAAAAGGCAAGCATGTATTTTGCAGGAGTTTACAGTTTAAGTGGAGAACTCTTGTTCTTTTAGTACACTTATGAAGAGACATTTTAATGATTGTGCAATTTCTGCCATACAATCAGTAATACTAAGAACTAGAACCCAAATGTCATTATAGGCATTTAAAATTTCATTCACCAGTGCCCATATTTTTAATGAAAGCTAGAAACATTCTAATATAATTGTGTGGAAAGTGTTTGTTGGAACCTAAGGTATTTTAATAACCTACAGTATTTCCCCCTTATCCAAAGTTTTGCTTTCACAGTTTCAGTTACCTGTGGTCAACCATGCTCTGAAAATATTAAATGAAAAATTCCATAAATAAACATTCCATAAGTTCTAAATTGCATGCTGTACTGAGTAGCCTGGTGGAATTGTGTACCTCCATCCTGCCCAGGACATGAATCAACCCTTAGTCCTGCATCTCCGCACTCTGCTACCCACCCGTTAATCACTTAACAGCCTTCTCAATTATCAAATGGCTTATCAGAGAGAGAGAGAAAGGGACACATTTGCACAGTTTTCATCACAATATATTGTTATAATTATTCAATTTAACTATTAGTTATTTTTGTTAATCTCTTACTGTACCTAATTTATAAGTAAACTTTATCATAGGTATTTATGTATAGGAAAAATATCTCTATATATAAAAGCCCAAGCAACTGAATGACCGAATGACCAGTTGACTGGTCGCTATGATGCATACTGACTACCAGGGGGCAGACGCTCAATGCAGGAGCTGCCCCCTGGTGGTCAGTGCGCTCCAACAGCGGTAGCACCACTCAGCTGACCAACTGACACCAGGTGCCAGGTTCACGGGTCGGTCAGCTGAGCGGCACTCTTGCTGTTGAAGCTCACTGACCACCAGGGGGAAGCTCCTGCATTGAGCGTCTGCCCCCTGGTGGTCAGTGCACATCAGAGTGACTGGTTGATCAGTCCTTCAGTCGTTCAGTTGTTCAGTCGCTTAGACTTTTGTATAGTAGTATATAGATATGAGCACTTCGTTGGAAGTAATGATGATCACAACACTATCATCTTTAGCTTACCTTTCCAAAAAAGTCCATTTCTTAGAACATTATTAGCAATACCAAAAGCTGTCTTTAAATATAACAAATCAGTATTTTAATTATAGAACTAAGACATATTTATGGCAAAATATATAAAATAAGAAGTTAAAAAAACAAAAACAAAAAAACTCAAGTACCCCATTTCCTAAATTTACTATGTATTTTAAAACACACAACACACACACACACTTCACACCTCTCAGAAAGCTGCATCCATTTAATGTCATCCAGCTTTGTTTTGTTTTGTTGTTACTTTTTTTAATCCTTACCTCAGGATATATTTACTGATTTTTTTAGAAAGACAAAGGGAGAGAGAAAGAAAGACATGAAAAATATCAAATGATTGCTTCTCTTACCTGCCCCAACCAGAGACTGAACTCACAACCTAGGTATATGCTCTAACTCTGACCTAGAATCCAAACAATCACCTTTGTGTGCAAGGGAAGACACTCCAACAAGTGAGCCACACTGGCCAGAGCAGCCAACTGGTTTTGATGTCAACATCAAAATGTTACATTTTCTAACCCTTTTGGAAATTTTTTAGAATTACTTAATTGTTAGGAAAGCATAAATACATTTCTGAAGTTTGCATGTCATGAACATAGCTTTCATATTAATTGCATGCTTATGTCATTAGCCTATTTCTATTTAATGTTTCCAAGTCACCTCTTTTTAAAAATAATTATTTAATTTATTGGGGTGACATTGATTAATAAGAGTATGTAAGTTTCAAGTCTACAATTCTATTATAGATTATCTGTATATTTACTTCTTGTTTTATTAAAAAAACTTTTTATGTATCAGGGAAATTAATTTTTTGTTATATTTATAAAAATATTTTGTTGTTAATGCTCTTAGCCTTTTGTTTGTTTGGTTTTTTGTTTGCTTGTGTATTTCATATGTGACATATTTAGATAAATATAATTTCTGGGTCTTGTGGCTCTCCCTCATGGGCCTTTGATTTTATTCCTACCGCAAAGTAAAAATTAAAGACATTTAAGGTTTAGTAGTGCATGACCCAGACCAGGTTGTTTTTAAATTATCCCTGTCTGTTTATTTATGTGGAGCCCTGAAAAGAGAACCAAACACTTGGTGAGTTCTGTGGCCACGTGTGTTGTGCTTTAGTTATTGATTCAACTAAAGTCATTCTGGTGTGAAGAATAGGCAGAGTCCAACTTTACTCATCCGTTTCTTTCCAAAGGATACCTAGCTATCTAAACATTGCTTCTTTTGAGTGATAAAATGTTTTACATTAATTGGAACAGCCATATTTATAATATTATACTTATAGTACAGGCCTGGTACACCCTCTCACAATCCAGGAGCCATTGGGTTAGGATGTCATACTGCTGGTTTAGGCCCGATCCTGCAAGATTGGACCTAAACCGGCAGTCAGACATCCCTCTCACAATCCAGGACCACTTGCTCATAACCAATTGCCTGCCTCATCACCCCTAACTACTCTGCCTGTCTGCCTGATTGCCCCTAACTGCCTCGGACTTGGCCCCTGCTGCTGCAGCTTCATCCAGAAGGATGTCTGGAAGGTCGTTTGGATGTCCAGTCTAATTAGCATATTACACTTCTATTATTATAGATGTATTAGAGTTTTTTCTGGAATTCTTCTCAGAGTCATTAACATAGTAATTATTCTTCATCATAAGGCAATTTTTAAAATCTCTATATGCATACAATATTTTTTAAAATATTTAGTAGGCCATTTCTTTTCCTCAAGACTCCTTTGTATTTAGAGATTGTCTGGCTTTTAAAAATGTATTTCCTAATATTTTACAATTGAATTTCTAGAGGGATGCAAATATAATTTCATAAATGCCTTGTACAAAATATCATTATTTTATTAATTGTAATTATGTAAGAAAATAATTTTCACATGTGAAATAACAAGTCATATTATTAAAATTTAGTATGATTCTTCCCATTCATTCAAATTGACTTATTTTAATAGCTTTAATTTTTTTTTCTTTATCTAGAACTAGTCACTATCCTGCTGCTTTGACTTTTAAATAATTTACTTCTAGTGGACTATTTGAAATAAGTTATGTTCTTTATATGATCTAGGTGATTTTCATTTTATAAAACCTTACATTGATTGATTTTTGTATTTTGCTTATCTGATTTGCCAACTTCCCTAAATATTTGATTTTTCTAAGATTTTAACAGTAATAATTTTTAGTTATTAAGGTGAACTGTTACAAATAATACAAATAATTACAATTATGGCTTTGAATGAGAAATAGTTTAAACCAAACATAATGCTGGATTTTGAGATTTATATATCCACTTAAAATCCAGCATTAAGCTTAATGACATACTTACATTTATATCTCTACACATAGCTACGTATCAGACTATTACTACCTTATAAATGGATTCTATTTACAGCAGGGAGAAATGTAGATGTTGATTGCTTATTAATCACTCAAAAAGTATTGTTATGATTATAAGATTTTTACAATGCTGGTGGCCAGGGGAAGGAAGGCCTGCTCTTGCACAAATTTTGTGCATCAGGCCTCTATACATAAAAAGCCTTTAGGAAAGACAATAACATGATTGATAAAGATAGATCATCATGTGTCTCTAAATTCTATTGAAGTATTCTCCAAATGCATTTTTTTAAAAGATATTTTAAAAAAGCATCATACTGCCATGGTTGGTTTGCTCAGTGGTCAGAGCATCAGCCTGCATTCAATAATTCTCAGTCAAGGGCCTTGCAGGTTTGCTCTCCACCCTTACCCCCCACCCCTCAATCTGAGTAAGTGCAGGAAACACCAATGGATGTGTCTATCTCAGTTGATCTCTCTCTCTCTCTCTCTCTCTCTCTCTCTCTCTCTCTCTCTCTCTCTCTCTCTCTCTCTCTCTCTCTCTCTCTCTCTCTCTCTCTCTCTCTCTCTCTCTCTCTCTCTCTCTCTCTCTCTCTCTCTTTCTCTCTTTCTCTTTCTCCTCTTCCCTCCTTTTCACTCTGAAAATCAATGGAAAAAATATCCTCAGGTGAGGATTAAAAAAAAACAAGCATAACTGACATTTGTTTGCATATCTTAAAGTTGACTTTTAAAAGTTTTGTTTTTAATGCATAAGACAAATTTAAAGAGAAACATGGTAAATAGTTTATTAAATTAACTTCTTAACTCTCAGAATTACATATAATATGCATAGCTTAGGCATTAAAAAGGTTATTTTTTTTTTCAGGCTAGGATTATGATATACTCTTTAAATGGCAAACAGTGATAGAGGGACTTTGTAAAATCTACTGCTAGAACTGTATAATGACCAAAATTATTCCATTTAACTATATTTTAGCATGACACCAATATGTAATTCAAAAAAAGCTGAACATTTGTGTCCATTTGATCATAAGTATCCACCAGGTAGAGAAAATGTAGTAGTAATTAAATTACTAATCCCTTTGTTTTTCTGACATGTTTTCTTTAAGAAAAATGGACATGACAAGAGCATTTTCACATCCTAAATTTACACTACTAATAATTTGTACAACTGGATCGAGTTGTATATTGTAGTAGTAAATGGTGACTATGTGATTTTGTTTTATCAGGAGCTACAACCATAGAGAAATATAACCTCAGAACAAATTTGTGGATCCAGGCAGGGATGATGAATGGCCGGAGATTGCAGTTTGGTGTGGCTGTTATTGATGACAAGCTCTTTGTAATTGGAGGTCGAGATGGCTTAAAGACATTGAACACTGTTGAATGTTACAATCCCAAAACAAAGACCTGGACTGTCTTACCACCGATGTCAACACATCGACATGGTCTAGGTAAGATTTCTTACTTTATTGATATTACTTTTAAAAACATTTTTATTAATAGTGAAAAAATATATAAAAGTATAGTATTATTGTCATCAGTTATTATTAATTTTAGGTATACCAGGGCTTATTTGGAGCATTATTTTAAAGTTCTTCACATTTTCCTGTGTTGACCAATGTGCATTTAATTGTTGAGAGAGATGTTAACAATACCAAAATGAGTAAACCTCCAACTATCCACAATGTTTTCACAATCTGACATTCATTTAATATGTGAAATTTGATATAACAAATGCAGTGCAATCATGGAGAGGCCAGAGCAATATAGTTCAGAAAAAGAAACAGTTAATGTGGATTAAGATGACTCATTCCACATTACTGGATAAACAAGTCTTGTTATATATTTGCATTATTTCCATCTTGAAAAATCATGGGGAGAAGGAAATATAGTTTTAGAAAAAGTGACTCCTCAGCTGTTACCAAGTGTCAATATGATAGGATTCACTTGATCTTTACTGTGGAGTAACCTGAAGATAAGAGAACTACACTTATATCAGAAGATCTGGTTGTGAGTCTTATCTTCCATCTACTATTTAATATTGACATGATTTTGGGCCAGAATTAGTTTCCTAATTCACTACCAATTCAAGGTCATTAAGTAGATAAAAAATCTAACAATGATAATTGTCAAGCCCCATACAAATATTTGAAAAAGAGGAATTTAATAAAGACTAACAGTTATTGAATTTGCATTTTGTATCATGGGGATTGTATGAAATGCAAATTACTTTTTTTGAAGACCTAGAATATGACAGAGAGTTAACTAAGTGTCTTTCATATACTTTGAATATACACATTAGAAAGATATCAGGGTTTAATTGCAAATCCACTGATTTAGATGGTAATAGACAAGCAAAATTAGAGAGCATTTCAAAAACAAATACTAATCACTAGCTGACCAGTGCATGGAATCATGCTTGGGGGGAGTAGGGGGGATCCCTCAGCCCGGCCTGTGCCCTCTCACAATTTGGGACCCCTCACGGGTTATCAGGCCTAAACCAGCAATAAGACATCCCTCTTGCAATCCAGGACACTGCATGCACCAGTGACCATACTTTACATGCAGGTGAAAGGCACCTTGCTGTTGTAAGGACAGGTACATTTTTTTGCCCTGATTATAAAAAATAGTACATAACATTATCCTTCTGAAGCAGTAGTACCATTTTCCCCATCTTATTGGGTGGAAAAACTGAAGCAGGGAGAAGTTAAGTAATTGGCTTTGTCACACAGTTATAAGTGTCAGAGTCAGGGCTGACCACAGAATGTGCAAGCCAGAGTCCATGCAAGTCACCACTGCATCATCCTGTTTTTTCAGTGTTAGAGTAACCTTGCCAGGTTTTAATTTTTAAATCTAAGAGACTGTTCCCAATATATAGGGTAGGGTCTCTAGGCCTGGCCGGCAATCAGGGCCAATCTGTGGGGCAACTGGCGAAATGATTGGGGGGCCTCCCACTGGCACCCTCTTTGGCTGGCAGTCTGGCACTACCTGCTGGCTGCCCCACCCCCCACCACTGCAGCTAATCTCCTCCTTCTGCGGGATGGGCAAGGCAATTGGGGGAGCCCCCCACTGGCACCCCCCTGGCTGGTGGCCTGACACCATCCACTTGCTGGCCAGGGGCCAGGGCAACTCATAAGTTGAGTGTCTGCCCCCTGGTGGTCAGTGCATGTCATAGTGACCAGTCATTCAGCAGGTGTTTCTGCCATGTGGTCGATTTGCAACATTAGGGTTTTATTATATAGGATAGTCTAACTTTGAGTTCTCCAAAACTGCATTCCTCATTTTTGTCTACACTGCTATCAATCTAAGTGAAATAAAAAATAAATTATTAAAATAGATTAACTAAATTATTATTTCCATCTTCTACCTTTTTGATCATCTTCTTGTACCTCCTTTTCTTCAGTTTGCTCCTTAGTAAAATTATAAAATAATAATAAATGTCTGAGAAAGTTTAAGTTCTAAAATTCTGTGTTTTCTATAAAAGCCACTTAAATTCTGTAAATCATATAGAACCAAATTAGAATATGAGAAACATGAATACCAAATGATTTTCCCCAGGTAATATTCATGGATATAGAAGGTTTCTTAAATGGTTTCTCCTCCCAAATAAATTAGAGCATTTTGGCTTTCATATCCATATAAAAGCTCTATATGTTGTTTTTATTAGTTAACTAACAGCCTCTGTTCCTGTTTTGGGGGAATATAGAGAATATGCAGTGTGGATTGGAATATTTAGAATTTAATGTCTCCCCCTTTTTGTTTTAGAAAATTTAATTCATTTCTATTAAGGTATACCCAGGTTTAACTATGTATATATTGATTATGTAGGATATTTACATGTCAAGAGAACATACATGAAAATGTTTCACCAAGAATGCACCTTAAGTGGTATAATTCCATGTGCTTCAAGTATACTAAATCCTATTTGCCTCAAATTCTATTACACCAGCACCAGGGCTGAGCAGGATGGTAATCTCACACAGTGTCTTTGGTTTGTCGTATTTGTTGAAGAGTTCATTGTAAAGGTCCATGTGGAAATAAGGCTACATAAAAAGTTACATGTGCCAAGTAGCACAACATCAAAATGTAATGTAGCTTTTCCACAAGTTTTATTGACTCAATAGCAATTCTCATAGTTGTCTGTTTTCATGATGAAGGCTCTCCTCCTATTTTTTATTTTGTTGTTTTCCTTCACTTCTAATTGTCAGGTGGGTCACCTCTCCTATATAGAGCATGCTGTTGGGTTCTTATGTGTTTTACTTCCTAAGAGTTTTTGGTTTTGTTCAGTTGTTGTTGTTTTTTTAAATCCTCTACTAAAAAACTCCCCAAGATTTGATCTGATTGAGTTAGTAGGTAATATCATCACAGAAGGCATCATTCTCATTTCAGAGCATCTCACAAAGTGCTAGCAATGTCCGGTAGATAGAAAGCTGCCTTTGACATGGATGCCAATCCAGGTCCAATCAGTTGAAGCTAGATTGATCGTGCTACCCTGAACGGCAAGCTGGATCTGTGTTCTTATCCTACATAATTTGAAGAATAAAATTCATGGACAAAGGATTTTAAGCCAAAATATGGAAATTTATTGCAAGCGTACAAACTACCACATGGGGAGGGGTTCCCAGATGGATAACCAGTGAAGTCTCTTTGTCTAAGGGTGTATAGATGCTGGCAGCTTCTTTGTCTATATGTGCTACTTTCTAATTGGACCCTTCCTCATTTTATGTCCCCTGTGTTTTTTCCAATTTCCCCCTTTTCCATGCATGGTATCAGTTCCAAAGTTTCAAAGCTCACCCAGTGCTTCCCCCATCTCCTCCCCCTTATCCTATATAATAAAAGGCTGATATGCAAATTGTCTGCTCAGGAGTTCTACCTACCAGGAGTTTGACCGCTCACTATGACATGCACTGACCACTAGAGGGTGGCACAGAACTAAGGAAGGCTCTGGCTGGTAGCCAGCAGCTGGGGAAAGAAGGCCTTGATCAGCCCTGATTGCTGGCCAGGCCTAGGGACCCTACCCATGCACGAATTTTGTGCACTGGGCCTCTAGTCTTGTTACATTCTTCTGTCCTCTGTGTATGTAAGAAAAACCATGTGGCTGCTTGGAGCTATCTCTGACCCATCACATATGCATTCTTTTCCCATGGACCCTTCCCTAACTGCCTTTCCTATCTCTAAATCCTTTCGGTAATAACACAAGACACATGTATGTTCTGTGATGAACCAGAGTGCTTCCTTTAGGATCAATCACATTCTTTATGATCAGTTTCATCTCGGGAAGTTCAGCATTATGTATCATACTCGAATGCAATTAACATCCTCAGACTAAAATTCTTGTTCCTTCCATATAATATATCAGCCTTTGATTTATCTTCTCTCTTCTTCTAGGGACTTCTGTTTACATAGGTGTTTATATTTCTTATTTAATGCATCATATCTTATAAACTAAATTTTTATTTGATAAATAATTGTAATATCCAGACCTTCAAATTATTCTTAATCTGTGTGTATCATGATACTAATTGTATGTATTGATCTCAATTTGTTTTCTTTTCTTTTTTTTAATTTATCTTTATTGTTGAAAGTATTACCGATGTCCCCTTCTCTTCCCCATTGACCCCTTCTAGCCTGCCCTCTCCCCACCTCAGGCCTTCACCACACTATTGTCTATGTCATGGGTTATGCATATATGCATATAAGTTCTTGGATTAATCTCTTCCCACCCAGCCACCCACCCTTGCCTTCACTCTGAGATTTATTTCTGTTCCATGCTTCTATGTTTCTGAATCTATTTTGTTCATCAGTTTATGATATGGGAGTTTTGGACTGGAATGTGCAGCGTTCCCTGGGCAAGATGGCTTTTCCTGGGCTCTTTGTCCATCAGAGTCAAAGAATGAAACCAAAGACAGAAGGTGGTATAGTAAAGGTGGAAATTATTGAAGAACATGTACAAACTCCCATGTGGGGAGGAGGAGAGAATCCCACAGCACGGACTCCCATGTGGGGAGGGGAAAAGAGTCCCACCAAATTCCTTTTTCTATGGTTTATAAAGGCTGCAGTTCTTTGTGCCTTGATATCCCCTCTGATTGGTCAATATTCCCCTTTGATTTGGTCACTATAGTAACTCCTGAGCTCAAAGGTCAAAACCTCACATGGGAAGTGTGGGGCCCTCCTCCCTCATTGTTCTCCTATTCCCTCTGGACTTTCTTCCTTCTTCTCTTTATTCTGTCCCCTTTGATTTGGTCACTAGCTGGGAAGTGTGGGGCTATGGAAATGTAACTGTTGCCTCTCCCAACTCCCTTGTCTTATGGAAATGTACCCTTTGCAGCTCTGTGGTCCAGTGCTTTTTTCATGGACCCCTTAATTTCTAAAATTTCCTAAACCTGCCTCTTTCACCCCTAAAAATTCCTTTCATTTAGATTTCACATGACTGAGATCATGTTCCTACTTG